CTGTGACTTAGGAAGAATTCTCTTTCATTTGAGCCTCCAGAGAACTAAGAAGAGAGCCAAGTTGCTCCCAGTAGATTAATGGTTCACTTAGAAGTTCCAGAAAACATTTGGTTCATAATAGATGTTCCTCTTCCTGGAAATTGCCCGTGGGTGGCACACATGTCTAAGTGGACTTGCTCTGTGGCCAAGGGACATGGGCAAATTTAAGCTTCCTACTAGCCTTTTGTAATGCACAGAAAATAGAAACTTCCAAAGTAAGTAAAAGAAAACCCAAAGAAGTCAGGGAAATAAAAATGACAGATGTTTCTAGTCACTATGACTTGGGGAGGGGGTGAAGGCCTCCTGGAATCTCCATTTGACCATTTGCAGGAGGATATATTTAGAGAAGTATTTTTATAGACCCTTTCATACTGGGAATACATTATTTGCATTCTGCATACAGGGAACTCCCCCCACCCCCCGCATCTAATTTTAAATAAATTCCAGCCAAAAGTTTGAGAAATTTTTGAACTGTTCTCAATAAAAAGATCATCTGAGTTGAACTAGAGGACTATGGTGATGCTCTGGAGTTTGACTATATCCCAAAGATATGTTTTCCTGGTAAAATAACATTTTGAGGGTTTTGCTAACTGATTTCAGCTTTAAAAATTTTAAATCTTCACAAGGGATGACTTATATAAGGAAAGACTGAGAAATTTTTTACTAGAATGTTCAGATGCTCCAAGAAGTTCCTCAGGCTTTTACTTTAGAAATTCACCCAGGCGGGACACCTAGGTAGCTTAGTCGGTTAAGTGCCTGCCTTTGCCTCAGGTCATGATCCCAGTGTCCTGGGATTGAGTCCTGCATTGGGCTCCTTGCTCAGTGGGCAGCCTGCTTTTCCCTCCGCTTCTGCCTGCTTGTGCTTTCTCATCAATCAATCAATTGATCAATCTTAAAAAGAAATCCACCTGGGCACCTGGCACTTTGGTGGCTCAGAATGTTGAGTGTCTGCCTTCAGCACAGGTCATGATCTCCAGGTCCTGGGATCGGGTCCCACATTGGGCTCCCAGCTCAGTGGGGAGTCTGCTGCTTCCTCGCCCTGTGCCTCTCCCCCTGCTTGTGCCGTTTCTCAAATGAATAGTTAAATGTTTTTTGAAAATCCACCAACAATTCACATTGATTCTCAGGTCCGTCTCAAAAAAACATAGGCATTGTGCACACTGTCATTTGCTTGTTCTGTAGACGTGTCTTGCATCCCTACTCTGCACCATGCTACTACACTTCTTAACCATGCCAACCTTGTCAGCCTGGGAAGAAACCTTTGAAAGCAATAAGACACTAAGGGCTGGTGTTCACAGAAACTTCTTACCTATGGCAGCAAGAGGTGGTGGGATGGGTATCCTGTGTGTCGCCCAGCTTCCCATTTGGTCCCAGTGTCAGCTTCCGGCAGCGCTAAAAGTCATGAACACCAACCTCCTGCTCAAAAACGTGGTAACAAAATTGTAGAAATCAGCATTCCCAAACGTCCCACCCCATGGAACTGCTGGGGTGTTTGCCACATACAAAGGTTGTGTATAAATTCCCTTTCCTGGATGCAGGATAAGGTTTTAGGGGAAGAAAGTGAAGGTCCTTCCAAGGTGTCCATCCTTATGAAGGAAGCAAGCTGTAATTCTCTGATCTTAAACCTAATTCTTAGATTGGGGAACCAAGCCTGTCCATGGCTTTAGCTGTCGATGCTTTGACCCTTCTGTGCCCCTGAAGAGGCCAAAGGGGGATACGGACCAGGGGAGATTGGTAGACTCAATCTGGTTGAAAGAGTTGGGCCTCAAAAGAGAAGATGGAAAAATCCCTTTGGGCACAGCTCCCAGATGTCCTGCCAGTAGAGCAGCATCAGAGAGAACACACCTTGGGTCTGGTGCTGGGTGTGGGGAGACTGGCCCTTAGGAGCTGGACTGGGAGATGTACCAGTGGGCTTCAGGTGAAAGACTTCCCGCTGCTCTCCCCAGGAAGTACTTTTTTTTTTTTTAAGATTTTATTTATTTATTTGACAGAGGGAGAGATCACAACCAGACAGAGAGGCAGGCAGAGAGAGGGAGGAGCAGGCTCCCCGCTGAGCAGAGTGCCCTACACAGGGCTCGATCCCAGGACCCCGAGACCACAACCCGACCGAAGGCAGAGGCCCAATCCACTGAGCCACCCAGGCACCCCAGGAAGTACTATTTTATAGGGGTAAAGATTGCTGCAGGTTGAGGGAGAGAAAGAAGAGTGGGTCCCAGAAACTCCCCGATATGGCATTTGCTGATTGCCATCCCTCTTCCCTAGGAACACAAGTTAAACAGCCACACTTGATTGGCATGAGCATGTCCCAAGACTAGGAAAACCCCTGACTCGTATCAGTAATTGGGGTCCAGACAATACAGAAACTACAGACAGGTAAGGGGGTCTGATGAAAGCCATAGCACAAGGAGAGAGAGGATGGGGAATCTTTGAATTACCATTAATGTAGACAGTCTGGGTAGGATTGGCCTCTAGAGAATTAGAAGGAAAAGACTATGATTTAGGACTTGGTGTGAGACTAGACTGACCGTGTCCCGTTCCAGCCTCCTGAGTATGTCCCTCTCCCCAGGCAATGGGAAGATTGTGGTTGAAAGGATGATAGCACTAGAGTCCCCACAATTCCGTTGTGAAACTTCAACAGCATAACCCACAGTAGCTAAAGCCAGCTCACACTGGCTTCCGAGAGGCGGTCGTACCTGTCTCTTCCCAACTCTCTGCAGTAATCCATGTTGATGGTTTGAAATCCACCATGGTGGGATTGCTAAATGCTATAAATCAGGACTCCTGCTTGGTACAGTTCTTCCCCAACAAGCACTGGTTGTTAAACACCTATCTGCACCCCACTGGAAGGAGGAAGATAAAAGCCAGAGAGAAAGGTGAACACAGAGAACTTCCCTCCATCAGTGGAGGAGGGAGAAGGCGTCAGCAGAGGTTGGGGAGTGAGAAAGCAGATCTTTTGGGTTGTTTCTGTTGGTGGGTCTTTGTGAGTAACTAGTTAATTACCACTAGGGTAAGCAATGTGTTTTAGCTGACCCTATATAATGTTACTTTGCTGACTCCAACAGACCCTTCAAATCTTGTTCAAGGTTCTAATTTGGCAGGTGGGGATGAAACAGTTATTTAAGAACTACCTTGGAGGGCAGAGAGGTCCTCTTCAAGAGGCTAGACATCCTAGGACTGTAGAGATTACAGAAATAATATGAGAAACACGTTCATACTTGCATCATTATCTGCAGTTTGGATTACTTCTCTGGAACAGAAGCACTGCTGTGTAGTCTGAGTGTTTTTGTCTGTTTCTGACGCTGTTAATACCCCCAAACTGCTCTTCCTGACAGGACGTACCCACTTACACTAGAACTAGCAAAACATGTGCCAGTTTCACCACGGTCTTGCCAATATTTCCATTTTAAAATATTAGATTAATGTGGTCAGTGAAATGTGATATTTCATTGTTGATCTTCATTTGCTTTTCTTCTCTCGGAGTGGAGATCATTTCTCAGGGGATGGCTCCTCTGGGTATTTGCTCCCCCCAAACGCTTGCATCCACCTGTGCCTGCCCCCCACACCCTGAGCTTGGCTGGGTGGTGGGTTGGAATTCTGCAAGATCTGAGAGGCGCTGGGAAGGAGTTTCCTGGTGAGACACCACTCCAAAGCTAACTGAGGAGATTGGACCACCGCGGGCTCCTCAGCAATGTTGATTTCACAGGTCCTCCCCCATTCAGGATCCCTGCGCCCTGAGACACTGTCAATGTGTCCTGAAATTCTTTGAGCAGAAATGATCAAGGAGGAGGTGCCTGCAAAAGAGGAAACTCTTCCACTCAAGTCGTTTTCCCGAATCCTCCAGGTCATGACAGATAATGGTTTGCTTTTCCCAACAGGCTGTGCGAAATACACACGGACTTTATTGCTTGCGTTTTGGGGAGACAAAGTCCTAGTTACCTCCCCGTCGCCCCTCTCTCCCAGTGTGGTCCCCAAGGCCTCACCATGGTGTCCCAATACCTGGGGGAGGGTAAGTGCTTTCTGGAGCCTCCTTGGTGCCTCACCCAAGCCGCTGAGGGCAGGTGCTGGAAAAAGGGGGTGTCCTCGCAGCTCTTCCTGCCTGTCGGGGTGGCCACATCTGGGGCTCACCGGTCCGCTGGCTTAGTCTGAGGCCTGCTTCCGGCCTGGCCTGGCCTGGCCTTGAGGGCCTGCGCACAGCGACCAGGCGGGAGGACCAGTCGCCAACCAAACCCAGCTTCCAGCCCTCGGCGCCTTCCCCACCAGGCAGTCCGGGCACCACCACCACCATCCCTGCAGACCGATGCGCACCCACATGGCTCCCAGACGGGCTGGGGCGGGGGGAGGTGGTGGTGGTCGAGGGGTCACTCGAGGTCCTGGGGGGCGCATCTGCACGAGACGTGCAATGTCCTCCTGGGTCCTGAAGCGGGAGCAGCACTTCTGGCCCGGGCTGAACTAGGCCGGCCCCGCGCCCGAAACGCTGGCGGCGCTGGTTAGTAAGATGGGAGGATGTGGGAACCGTTTGTCGACTGCTCGTATTTCTTACTCCGGCCGGGGGCTGGGGGAGCCGCCTCCAGCTCAGCCCGTGGGAATCCCGGGCCTTTCCAGAGGCCCGACGGCCCCGGCGCCCGGCCGCGCCCGCCTCTTTCCGCGCGCCGCAGCCGCCGCTCCGGCCACCGCGGCCAGCTCCCGGCTGCACGCCCCGGCGTCCCAGCCCGGCCTCCGCGCCCCTCCAAGCTCCGGGCAAGAGCGGCCCCCGCCGCTCCGCCGCCGCCGCCGCCGCCACTCCTCCCGCATTCCAAAGGCCGCAGCGCCGTCTCCTTCCTCGCATTCCTGCCCCCACAAAGGAGTCCCTCCGCCCCCCGCGCGCCCGCCGGGAGGAGGGGGCGCGGCCCGGCGCCTCGGAGCGCGCATTCCTCCGCCGCGCGCGCCACTCAGCGGAGCGCCGCGGCCCCCGGACCGCGCGTGGCCGGTCGAGCGACCCCGGCCCGGCGCCGGCCCCGCCCCGCCCCGCGCCCAGGGGTCCCGGGGCGGGCTCCGGGCTTGGGGCGGACGATGCGGCGGCGCGGCCGGAGCGGCGGCGGGAAGCGGAGGCGGAGGTGACGCGCCAGGGCCGGCGGGCCGGGCCATGCAGCGCTCCCGGGCGGCCGCGGACGAGGCGGCCCTGCTCCTGGCCGGGCTGGCCCTGCGGGAGCTGGAGCCGGGCGGCGACTCTCCAGGCCGGGGGCGGCGGGGGCCGCGGCCCGGGCCTGGAGATGAGGCGGCGCAGGCGCTGGGCCGCAGAGGGAAGGGCGGCGGCGGCGGCCCCGAGGCCGGGGCGGACGGACTGAGCCGTGGGGAGCGAGGCCCGCGGCGCGCGGTGGCCCCCGAGCTCAGCGCGCAGCCCGCGGGCAGCCCGCGGGCCAGCCTGGCGGGCTCCGACGGCGGCGGCGGCGGCAGCGGCAGCGCCCGCTCCAGCGGCATCAGCCTGGGCTACGACCAGCGCCACGGTAGCCCGCGCTCCGGCCGCTCAGACCCGCGCCCCGGCCCCGGGCCGCCGTCGGTGGGCAGCGCCCGCTCCAGCGTGTCCAGTCTCGGCTCCCGCGGCTCGGCCGGCGCCTACGCCGACCTGCTGCTGCCCGCCGCCGGCCCCGCGCCGGCTCGCTCCCCGGAGCCCGCGGGGCCGGCCCCCTTCCCTCTGCCTTCGCTGCCGCTGCCCGCGGCCCGAGAGGGCGGCCCGAGCGCGGCGGAGCGGCGGCTGGAGGCGCTGACCCGCGAGCTGGAGCGGGCGCTGGAGGCGCGCACGGCGCGGGACTACTTCGGTGAGCGAGCTCGGCCGCGCGGTCCTGAGCCCCCCGCGGTGGTCGGGGTGCGCGGCGCCGGGAGAAGCGTGGCTCCCGGGGTGGGGGTGGGGGCTGGGCAACAGGGGCTGTGAGTGCGGGGTCCGAGGTTTACTTAGAGCAGCAACTTCGCCCGTGGATCTCCGGCCGGGGAAGGGGTTCTGGCAAAGTGAGTTGATGCCCTCACTGTTCTTCACTTGGAGAGTAAGTCAGGTCAGTAGGCGGAATAAGCCGTTTTCGGATCATTTCTTCATCCTCAGCGCTTGCCTCTGCTCGCGGTGCTTTGTGACCGGCCTGGCAGCCCTGGCCGGGTAGGAGCCCGCGGTACTGGTGTTCCCGTAGCTCCCAAGCAGTGTGGGGAGTGTACAGGAGCAGGGAGGTGGGCTGAGCCAGGTACCACCGGACCCTCCTGACCCGAAGCTTTGGTGATGGCAGTGACTGGGGGCAGAGTGTGTGAGGGAGGGGAAGCCCTTACCCCGAGGTGTAAGGGGACCAAGCCGGTCACACTGGGCTGTCCTCGCTCTGGGCTGCGCTGCGTGTATGGGCTGTTTCCAAAGGGAATCCAGCTGCGCTGCGTTTGCAAAGCCCACCAGTCTCTGACAGCCTGCATTTCCCAGTCCGACCCTGGCCGCTCCCTGCCTACCTAGTTTTGTTGGATAACTGGTAGGTCTCTTCTTTAGGTTCGAGATCCCTCCCCCACTTACTGATAAGTAAGCGGGAAGGCGGAGACACCTGGCTTTGGCGGGGGTGGGAGTGGTTATCACGCGGAGCGGGACGGAGGCTGGACGTGGGTTTGTATCTTTCGTGCATTCATTCCAGCCAGCAGCTCAGGACCGCCCGGAACTGGATCTTGAGGGAGGAGGAAGCTGTATGTGACAGGCTAGATGGGGGCATTCCAGGCAGACAGAAGAATGCGGGCCAAGGGAGGCGAGTGAGAATGGGCACTGTTCCACTCTGCGCCCGGGACTGCAGCCAGGGAGGGCTCAGGTGTTCAGGGGAGTGTCTGCGCCACAGGGTCGGTCTGCCTTTTCGAGGGGGCTCCCGCGGGAGGGTTGCAGGCTCATCTGGGAGCCTTGGGGTGAGAAATGTGTGGTTTGGTAGGTAGGTCTTGCGGCTGCCGTCTGGTGGCCTTGGGAGCGCAGAGATGGGTTAGGAAGCTGTTGCCTCTCCTGCCAGGCAGATGGCAGGACCCAAAGGTGCGATGGTGTTCTGAAGGGGATGACTCCAGTGCTCTCTGCCGGCAGGACTGCTTGTCTCCTGTCCCCCTGCACTACAGGGCCCAGGGTGGCTGCTGGCGGGGTCTTTGTGTGAAGCTGAGGTGGCCGGCCCCAAGCTCGTACTGGGAGAGGGAAGGAAGGGCTGAAGCTGGTGGGTCATCCTTTCTAAAGGGGCCACCGAGCCACCGAGGAGTGGGAGGTGAGGGATGGTAGATCTTTTTTTACCCCCAAGAGAAGCCAGATCCAGGTAACATTTTCCTAATTTATAAGAATACGGGCAGCTACTGCATACTACTGCATACATATTGCTGATAACTTAGCGCTAACAAATTTGAGTTCTTGGAGCTATAAAAAGTAGCAGTTTCATACAATTGAGCTCCAATAATGTGAAGTTCTGCAAAAGGAAGTAGGCAGGTAGCATGAGCTCCAAGGGATGTCCAATATTCCACAACCTCAGTGTGCTTGTTCCTTTCTGTGCCATCCGCCCTCCTCCTTGGCCCTGACACTTGCTGGCGTCCTGGTCCCTCTCTCTGTTCACTGACATCTTTGGAACTGCTCCCATCTCTCCTCACCAAGTTCCTCTGCCCTTAGCCAGCCAACAGCCTCAGGCTTCCGGAACCTTTTTTTTTTTTTTCCCCCTCCAGAACTTCTAACTTTGGTGACTTCTCTCCTTTCTCTTGAGCCCCCTCCTCCCAGGGCCACACCCTGTTTTTGCATCGTTCTGGCGGTCTTCAGTGCTCACTGCCACCTGGTCTCACTAGTACCTCGGGTTCCTCTGGACCCCCTATGCCCTGCAGAACCCTGACTCTGAGTCCACGCCACAGCACCCTTTTTTGCTGCCATAAGGGGTGGGGTGGGGTGATGGTCTTGAACCCCTGTGATCTTCTGGGCACCACGCATCTTCCTAAGCGTTGATCTGTTCCCTCTTTGATTCCCTCAACAACCTTCCTGTCCCTCCGGTTCCTGGGCTCGCTTTCGACTTTGCTGCGAAAACTGAGGTCAGCATTTGGAGGGTGCCTGTTACCCTCAGGGTGTCAAGTCCACGTCCAAGTCTAAGGACCGTGGTCATTTCACCTCCAACCCCCACCTCCTCCATCTTTGGCTTTCCTCTTTCCACTGGCCCTTTTGCTTTGGTTAATAAGTATATACAAGGGTCTTTCGTGAAAAAGAAAAGAAAGGAAAATGAAAGAAAAGGAGAGAGGCGAGGAAGAAGCCCACCCACCCCAGTTTGGTCGCAGACTCTCTGGCACTCCCACCTCTTCCCATCCCAGCATCTGCTCAGCATCCCCTTTGCTCACCCGCCTGCCGTTGCCCCTCCACTGTCTGTCCCCCACATCACGGGACTGAGCTGACTCTCGCACAGGAGGACCCTGTGATGCCCCAGCCCAGCCGCTGTTTGCCAGGCCTTGGCCTCTCCCTGTTCCATCCCAGAGGTGGAGTCCACTCTCTGAAATGCTGTACCCCCTGAATGAATTTTGTGTGGACTCGGTGCTCCTGGTTCTCTTTCTTCAGTGTCTTTCTATTAAAGTGATGCAAGCACATATTTAGAAAACAAAGCAAACAGAAGTCAAAATGAATCGTTCAAAGTCATTAGCCTCCCCTCTTGCCCCGCCTCCCGTCCTGCTTCCCACGGGCAACTGACTTTCGCTCTTCACTGTGGATTCTGGTCACTTAGGAGAGGGACAAGGTCAGGTGTTCGAGCTTGATGGACAAGAGTAAGGGGGGAGTGGTGGGTCCTTTTCACTTTAGAAAGAGGAGTCCAGCAGTGGTTTGCGGGAAGGACCGTTGGGGGCCAGGTCTTGAGGACGCTTTTGAAATGGCCTTTGGGATGAGAGCTGGTGTTGAGTCAGGCTAGTGGCGGTGAGAGGAGGGAATGAAGTGGAAATCAGGCAGCAGAGGAGCTGAGATTCAGCGTCGGGGATGACAAAGGGAGGGGACACTGGGTTGCCACCCCGAAACCCAGCCACGCGCCAGTGCTGTTTCCCCAGCAGGGACCCAGAGGCCAGACCGGTCTTACGGGAGATCCACCGGCTCCGTGGTGGTCTGGGGCCAGCTGGGAGGTGGATCCGTGACTCAGGAGAGAGGTCTGGGCTGGGGCAGAGCACCCGGAGCCCTCGGGAGGGGTGAGGCGTTGCGGTGGGTAGGACCCCGGGGGAGCCCAGGAACGGCTGTGTGCGGAAACCTGTGGGCCTAGTGTGCTTGACCTCTGCATTTTCAAGTCATGTAAGTTAGTAATTCACTTCAGTGTGGAAAGATGTCACATACAAATGTAGATTTCTAGCTTCTTTTGAAAATTTGGCCCCTTCAGCAGCTCTGGGCTTGTGTTCCCACCCAGTAGCCATCCACAGCCGAGGCTCTGTTCTCCACTCACCTGGGTCCCCATCCGCTGCCTTGGAGTGCCTGCCTGGTTTTGAGGGCATCAGAGCTGGCCTTCCCTCCCCTGGGGAGGCTGAGGCATGGGAGGCCCAGCACTGTGCAGGGTGCTCCCACTAGGGCTGGGACGGGAGATGTGGGTGTGGGTCGGATCCTGGAAACAGAAAAGGAGGAACTGGCCCACCTCGATAGCAGGATCAGGTCGGGAAGCCTGGCGGTCTGCAGTGTCAGGAGGCGGCTGAGTGTGGACTGAGCTTTCTTGACATGTGGTGGTGCTGATGGGGGTGAGGATCCGCCACGGTTAAATGCTGATGAGAAAGATCTGGGAGAAGGCAGGAGGGAGAGGGGGAGGGCAGCATGTCCTGGAGCAGCCAGCAGACATAGGGTCCAGAGGGCCAGTGGAGCCCATCTTCCTGCCCTGAGGGGTATGGGGACCCTGGGTAACTGAAGGGGGCTTCTGGGCTGCCCCCCCCCACCCCGCGTTCTGGGCCCCTGGCATTGCTGGTCACCCTTTTCCTTACCTCCCCTTCCCCGCCTGCTGGGTGCTGTCCTGCTGGGGGTTGTCCCCAGTTCCACCCAGTGATCCCAGATGCCTGCACGGCACCTTCCTCCCCACTTTCTTCTAGACTTAGCTCAGATGTCACCCTGTCACTGGGGCCTTCCCCGTCATCATCCTATTTAAGACACACACACACTGATAGATACTTAGCCAGCCGTATTTTCCTCCATAGCACTTACTTGCCTGTTGTCGGCTGACCCCCTCTGTGGGCCCAGAGGCTCCTCGAGGCTGGGGACTTCCTTGGTGTGGGGCATAATCTCTAGGACCTCAGCGGTGGGGCGTGTAGCAGCCTAGCAGTGTCCACGTGCTGGTTGAGCAAGAGAACAGACGCCCCTTCTGCTCCGGAGGAGGAAAGCGTGGCTGGGGAGGCTCAGCGACCCTGCCCTCGTTGTGCCCATGTGCGCTTTATTCTTTCTGGCCCAGAGATGGCAGAAAGGATTTTCTGTCAGTCCACGAACAGGTCACTGGGGAGGGGGCCAGAATGACTTTCTGGTATAAACATGTCATTTACAGGGGCACCTCGGTGGCTCAGTCGGTGAAGCATCTGCCTTCAGATCCCCCATGATTCCAGGGTCCTGGGATCGAGCCCGCCCCTTGTCGGGCTCCCTGCTCAGCGGGGAGCCTGCTTCTCCCTCTCCCTCTGCTGCTCCCCTCCCCTCTGCTAGTGCCCAAATAAATAAAGTCTGTTTATATAAAAAAAGTCATTAATAAGTATCTATTTTTTGTCATTAATATTTTTTAAAGATTGTTTCTTGAGAGAGCGGGAGCGCATGCGCGCTTGCGAGTTGGGGGGGAGGGGCAGAGGCAGAGGGAGAATCTCCAGCAGACTCTGCACCGAGCCTGGAGCCCAAGGTGGGACTCGATCTCGCCACCCTGAGATCTCGACCTGAACCAAAACCGGGAAGTCAGACACTGAAGCGACTGGGCCGCCCCAGCGTCCGGCGTGTCATTAACATCTTACTGGCAAGGACGGTGCTGGGGAGCTCTGACTCGGGGCCAGTTTCTCTGCTTGCTCTTTGAATCCTCAGACAACCCCAGGCGCAAACCCTAGGATGCTCCGTATGATTCCCACATCAGCCATTAATAACTGAGCGACGGAGGCCTTGGGAAGTTCATTCACCCGAGGTCGGGCAGCATCAGGATGTTCCCGGTGCTAACCTCCGCTCTCTCCTGCCTCTATTCCCACAGGCATTTGCATCAAGTGTGGGCTGGGCATCTACGGAGCAAGGCAGGCTTGCCAGGCAATGGGCAGCTTGTATCACACGGACTGCTTCACCTGCGACTCCTGTGGTAGGTGACCTCTTCCTCGGCCCTCCTGTGCCGCGGGACCCCTGGCACCTGAGTCCCCTGCACGTGGACGGTCCAGCCCTGGCCCCAGTGGGGTGTGGAGGAGGCTGAGTTGTAACCCCTTTACCTCTGGGCCTGGCCTGCTGGGGAGGCCCAGGCCCCTGGGAGATCTGCTGGGCGGGGGTCGGGGGGTGAGGTGTGGAACCAGGGAGGAGAGCCTTTTGCTGACCTCAAGGAAAGCTGCAGACCCCTGCCCCCCCACCTTGGCCTTGGTGCCTCCGTCCCATGCCAGGCTATTGATGTCTCCTGGCTGCCTGGGTGTGGGGCTGAAATTTCTTTTCCTGCCATATATTTTTTCTCTCAATTTGACACACAGTAAAAACTATAAATGTTAAAATTTAACCAAGACAAAGTTCAGAAAGGAAAAAAAAAATGGCTATCATCCAACCCACCTAATAAAGCCGCCTTCCGAATTCTCCTACCGTTCCTTCAGGCTTAGCCCCCAAGCAAATGTCTCTCATTTATTTACACGAAGCATTTTAATGTTTTATTTTATAGAGGTGTAATACATGCACCTCTATATGTTAAGTAGCTAGTCCTGAGAAGCTATTTTTGCAAGAGCAAAAAAAACAGTCACCTTTCCACTCCTGGTCCCATTCCCCATGGTGTTTGTTTTAGCAATTTTTAGACTCTAGTAGACACCTTCGTATCTGTAACAAGCATACACTGTCCTTTTTTTTTTTAATTTTAAAGATTTTATTTATTTATTTATTTCTTTATTTATTTAACTCAAGCAGGGATGTGTTCTTTTTAGCCTTACTTTTGCTATGACAGATGAGGAACACTGTCCGTTTTTCTTCCTTCTGTTTTCTGAGGTTAAGTCAGTAAAGCTGGTTTATGTTACTTTGACTGTTTAAAAATTCACTGCAGAGCCTAGAATTATACGGTGATTACATCCCTTTTTTCCCCCCCTGTAGTCTTTTCCAGGAGTTTTTTTCCTTTTTAACCTTTTTCCCCCCTTGTATTGGTTTGTTTCATCCTATCTTCACTTTCTGCCCCTCTCCCCTGGAGGCTCCATTATATGAGGCATCCTACTGAATTTCCATGGGGAGGCTTGTCAGTCTGAGTTGGTTGCCCTCTGGACCCCTGTAGGTTCCCCATTCTGTGTCTTCCCATGTATACTCTGCATTGAATCCACTATTTTCTGGAAGTTTTTAGCTGGGGATGACAGAGAAGCTGCTGAGGAGGCTTAAACTCAAAGAATATTTTTTGGCTCAATAGGGCTAGCTTCAGGTTGGGATTGATCTGGTGGCTCAAGCCCTGTGAGTAGCTTCGCTGGGTTTCCCTTGGGTTTGGCTTTTTCCTTGGGGCAACTTCTCTTATGGTGGTGAAATGTCTTAGGCAGCTTGAGACCTCCATTGGCACCCCACTAATCTGGAGGAAGAGGGGGCATCTCTTCTGGTCATGGTTTTAGAAACTTCTTTTCCAGAAAGCACATAGCAGGGATGCCTGAGTGGCTCAGTACGTTAAGCATCTGCCTTCAGCTCAGCTCATGATCCTGGGGTCTTGGGATCGAGTCTCACATCAGGCTCCTTGCTCAGCAGGGAGCCTGCTTCTCCCTCTGCCTGCCTCTCCCCTTGCTTTGCTTGTGTGTACTCTCTCGCTGAAAATAAATAAAATCTTAAAAAAAAAAAAAGGAAAGAAAGCAAGCAAGCAAACGCGTAGCAAATATCTCCTTGTATGTCATTGGCCAGAGCATCTCACACATCCATTCCTGATTCGAGTTCTTGGGTGGTGGGAAGGGCTATGATTGATTGACCCACAGGCCTGAGTCTCTGAGTAAGACCGTAGTAAGAGAAGAGTAGTTGTCTTTATGCTAATCAAGCCCATCCATGGATAATGGGAGTGAATTTGGGTTTCCCTTAAGTGAACCAGATTGTCTGAGGTAAGGTTGGAGACTGAAAAACTTGGAGGAGAAGCAAGGAATCAAAACTGTGGAACATTGCCTACCAAGATTTTCTATCGTTACCTAAGAAAAGGCACCTGGGAGGACCGTTCTGAATTCTGCTGTCTAAAATGCCTTTATTCTACCCTTATACTTTCTAGATTGGGAACAGATTTCCAAATTTGAAGCGATTTTCACTCAGCGTTTTTTGTTTGTTTGTTTGTTTGTTTTGTTTTGTTTTTGTTTTTTTTTTTAAGATTTTATTTTCAAGTAATTTCTACATCCAACATGGGGCTTGAGATCAAGAGTCCTACTCCCCGAGGACGGAGCCAGGCACCCCTCACTTAGCATTTTGTCATGGTTTTATCTTCCAGCAGCTGCTTTTGCTGCTACAGGTTTTCCATTGAGGAGCTCTGGGGAGGAAGAATGTCGTGTTGCACAAAACCCAGCTATAATGGTGTCTGGAAACGGCCATGTACTGCACGGTTCCAGGGGGCACCATTTATGTAGATGCAATGCAGCGGTGCTTCTGAACTTATACAAGACAGCAGCAGCCTGACTTGGAACATTTTATTTATGTTTGTTTTAGGGTTTTAACCATTGTGGTTGTGCTGGGCACACACAGAGCCCTCTTGGACTGAATGTTTGCCCCCTCAGTTCTGGGAATTTTGGGGGGGTACTATTTATTTTATTCCCCTCTTATTTCCTCCAGAACTGAATTCACCAGTGTGTAGTCAAGATAATATACATTATGTCCAAGGTGAGTTTATTTGAAGAATACTAGGGTGGATTCACATTAAAAAATTCATTAATGTAGGGGCGCCTGGTTGGTTCAATCAATAGAGCATGCAACTCTTTTTTTTTTTCTTTAAGATTTTATTTATTTGAGAAAGAGAGAGCAAGTAAGAGAGAGCATGAGCAGGGGGAGGGAGAGGGAGAAGCAGACTCCTTATTGAGCAGGGAGCCTGATGCAGGGCTTAATCCTAGGACCCTGGAATCATGACCTGAGCTGAAGGTGGATGCCTAATTGACTGAGCCACCCAGGCACCTGGAGGATGTGATTCTTGATCTCAGGGTCATGAGTTTAAGCCCCACACTGGGTATAGAGCCTACTTAAAAAAAATTCATTAATGTAATGCACCTTGTTAATTAATTAAAGGAGAAAAGCTGGACATTCATCTCACTAGGTATAGAAGAACCAATTGGTAAAATTCAACATTGATTTATGATGCAAATCCTTAGCAAACTAGGAATAAAAGGGAACTTTCTAAACCTGACAAAAGTTGTTTACTAAAAATCTATGCAGGGCGCCTGGGTGGCTCAGTCGGTTAAGCCTCTGCCTTTGGCTCAGGTCATGATCTCAGGGTCCTGGGATTGAGCCCCACATCGGGCTCTCTGCTCAGCTGGGAGCCTGCTTCCCTCTCTTTCTTGCCTGCCTCTCTGCCTACTTGTGATCTTTCTCTGTCAAATAAATAAATAAAATCTTTAAAAAAAAATCTATGCAAACATCATACTCAGTGGTGAAATTAGAGAAAAATGACCCTTTAAATGAGGAACTGACAAAGCTACCTGCAGTCATGTCTTCAATTCAGCATTGTACTAGAGGTCCTGGTCATTGCAGTAAGATAAGAAAAATAAAATATACCATATTCATGGATGGGTATATTCAATAGTGTAGAGATGTTGGTTTTTTCCAAATTGATCTATAATGCATTGCAGTTACAGTTAATCAGGTTTTCATGAATTTGACAAGCTAATTCTAAAATTAAAATGGAAGTGCAAAAAGGCTAAGAATAGTCAAGATGATTTTGAAAAAGAGCAAGTCAGGGAAACTTCCACTGTCAGGTCTCAGTATGTATTGACATTGATTGATTTCTTTCTTTTTTAAGATTTTATTTATTTATTTGAGAGAGAGAGTAATCGAGAGAGGGAGAGCATGAGAAGGGGGAGGGTCAGAGGGAGAAGCAGGCTCCCCACCAATTAGGGAGCCTGACGTAGGACTCGATCCTTGGACTCCAGGATCATGACTTGAGTCAAAGGCAGTTGCTTAACCAACTGAGCTATCCAGGCACCGATATTGATTAATTTCATATGGTATTGGTGCAGGGATAGACAGACCAGTGAAACCGAATAGAGAGTCCAGAAACAGACCCATATCTGTGTGAACACTTGATAGGTGATATAGATGGCATTGTAGATGGTTTTGGGAAAGTTGGTGATCCATCTGAAAAAATCAAATCAAATCCAGCTGGATCTAAGACTTAAATGTATAAAGAAAAACTTGACAGTTTTAAGAAAAGATTGCTTATCTTTACTTGTCTTCTGGTAAAGAAGTTTTTGCTTTTTTTTTTTTTTCCCCATAGAAAAAGAGCCAAATGTAAAGGGAAGGATTGACAAATTTGACTACATCAGAATTAAAAAACCCTATTCATTGAAAGATACCATGAAGCAGGGCACCTGGGTGGCTCAGTGCGTTAAAGCCTCTGCCTTCAGCTCAGGTCATGATCCCAGGACACTGGGATCGAGCCCGCATTGGGTGGGGGGGGGTCTCTGCTCAGCAGGGAGCCTGCTTCCTCCTCTCTCTGCCTGCTTCTCTGCCTACTTGTGATCTCTGTCAAATAAATAAATAAAATCTTTTTAAAAAAAGAAGATACCCTTTAAAAAAAAAGGGTGGGGTGCCTGGCTCAGTGGGTTAAAGCCTCTGCCTTTGGCTTGGGTCATGATCTCAGCGTCCTGGGATCGATCTCCGCATCAGGCTCTCTGCTTAGCAGGGAGCCTGCTTCCTCCTCTCTCCCTCTGCCTACTTGTGATCTCTGTCTGTCAAATAAATAAATATAATCTTAAAAAAAAAAAACAAGAAGATACCATGAAGCACATGGTAAAACATGCATACCTTCCAAGGATTATTTTTCTAGGATATTTAAAATACTTTCACATAACAATTAGAAAAAAAGTACTGATAATTTAAAGTGTTCTTTTATAGTTTAACTCTGATGTGTGTAAGTGTGGGTTTTCTTTTATTTGTCCTGTTTGGGATTCATTTTGACTTCCAGATCTG